ACTTCACGGGCAGGTAGTTTTCCAGTAGGCACGGGTAGTCTTCAGGATTCGGCCGCAGCACTCAGGAGGAGCGCTGCAGCTGTCTCTTATACACATCTAGATGGTGTGTGTGTGTGAGAGAGAGAGAGAGAGAGAGAGAGATTGGGGAGGTGGATCAGGAAAGGGTAAAGGACTAAATGTGCGCTGTGTGCCCCGATCTTTTTTTCCGTTTTTTCTCTCTATTTTTACTTTTTCTTTGTTGAGATATATAGATGTATAAGAGAGAGAGAGAGAGAGAGAGAGAGAGAGAGAGAGAGAGAGAGAGAGAGAGAGAGAGAGAGAGAGAGAGAGAGAGAGAGAGAGACGGGGGAGCGAGGAGGGTAAGGAGAAGTCGTGGGGGTTGGAAAGAGGGGAGGGGAAAGGGGAGAACATAGAAGGGTTGGATTTGGCCTAGTACTTCCCCCTTCGGCTCACCAGTTCTATTCGTTTCGAACAAGGGGGGGTCATTAATGATGTGCATTGATTATAGAGGCCTCAATTCAATCACCGTTAAGAACGCAGAGCCAGCATCGACGACGTCTTGGATAGGGTGCAAGGATGTAAGTACTTCACTAAGATAGATTTGAAGTCCGACTACCATCAAACTGCCATTAGACCAGAAGATCAACACAAAACCAAATTTCAGACCAGGTACGGTCTGTACGAGTTTGTGGTGATGTTTTTTGCAGGGGAGAGAGAGAGAGAGAGAGAGAGAGAGAGAGAGAGAGAGAGAGAGAGAGAGAGAGAGAGAGAGAGAGAGAGAGAGACGGGGGAGGGAGGAGGGAGGAGGGAGGAGGGTAAGGAGAAGTCATGGGGGTTGGAAAGAGGGGAGGGGAAAGGGGAGAACATAGAAGGGTTGGATTCGGCCTAGTACTTCCCCCTTCGGCCCAAGGGGGGGTCATTAATGATTTGCATTGATTATAGAGGCCTGAATTCAATCACCGTTAAGAACGCAGAGCCCGCATCGACGACTTATTGGATAGGGTGCAAGGATGTAAGTACTTCACTAAGATTGATTTGAAGTCCAACTACCATCAAACTGCCATTAAACCAGAAGATCAGCACAAAACCGCATTTCAGACCAGGTACGGTCTGTACGAGTTTGTGGTGATGTCTTTTGGCCTTTGCAATGCGTTGAGTACATTCCAGCATGCCATGAATAGGGTGTTTCATGACTACCTGGATAAGTTCATCGCCGTGTACCTCGACGATATACTTCTCTATTAGGACTGTCGTGGAGCATGCCCGGCATGTAGAAACCGCATTTTCACTCTTGTGACAACACAAGTATAAGATAAATTTAGAGAAATGCGAGTTCGGTCGCACTAAAATCTTGTATTCGGGTTATGAGATATCCACGAAAGGAATTAGGCCTAAAGATGCAAAGGTGGCTAATATTCGTTACTAACCACGGCCCGAGTTTGTGACTAAGGTCAAATCATTCTTAAGGATGTGTGGCTACTAATGCAATTTCGTAAAGAATTATAGTACGGTGGCCTCGCCTTTGACTTATCTAACACGCCTTGACACACCATGGGAATGGACAGCAGCGTTTGAGGCTGCTTTCGAAAGGTTGAAGTACGCCCTCACACATCATGAGATCCTCATGGTTCATTGTGACCACCGACGCAAACCGATATGGCATTGGCGCTGCTGCTGGCTCAGGCGGAAGGGAAAAGTTGAGGCTGATTGAGAACAAGAGCAAGAAGATGCCATCAAAGAAATTGGCAAAGTCCACCTACGAAATGGAACTCTATGTCCTCTACAAAGCACTTGTCCACTGGAGGCACTATCTGCTTGGTAGGTTCTTCTACTTGAGAACTGACCATCAGACGCTCAAGTGGATCAAGACACAACCTGTCCTCTCTGACACACTCAAACGCTGGATTGAAGTCATAGACCAATAGGACTTCAAGCTAGATTAGGTAAAAGGGGAGTACAACAAGGTTGCTGATACGTTGTCACGTAGGGTAGACTACCTAGGTGCGTTGATTACTGAGTTTGACTCATCCGATGATGTCACTCGATCTTTGGTAGAAGCCTACAAGGAAGACCTTGTCATGATGGACATCATACACAAACTTGAGGCCCAAGACAAGGCCACATCTGACGAGTTTGTGTTGGTGGAACTCTATGCCCTCTACAAAGCACTTGTCCACTGTACAGAGCACCACCGGCGTCAGTCCCAACTAGCTGCATTTAGGGTGGAAGCCTAGATCTGCTCTAGATTTCCTCCCACCTGAAAATCGACCCATTGTAATGCCCGGAACCATTGAATTTGGTGTCCAGTATGAGAAACTGTTGCAGCAGGCTGTCGAGCGTATCAGAAAGTCTCAAGAGGTGATGATTTCCTCTGAGAACAAGTATAGGCGACAGTCCATGTTTCAGGTAGGGGAACACGTCTGGGTAAAGGCTAGTGAACTGGGACAGGAGTTTGGCATTTCTAAGAAGTTAATGTTGCAGTAATTTGTCTGAGCATCCTGCGCAAGAGGGTATGGGAGGTTGGCAGGGGGGGAGGAACTAGTGTGTAGCAGTAGGTATCTGGCGCCGGCTTGCAGGGTGAAGAGGTTCCTCCTCCCTTCCAGTATCCTGCTCAGTTCATCCCCTGGATCCCAGGGCAATCAATGCTGGCAGGAACCCCCCCACACAACTGTTTTTTCTGATGTATTCCAAATTCAGTCTGTACACGGGACACTGGATCCGTTTTCCAGCAGGTGATGCTCCCCACCAATAGATGGAGCCTATCCCCAGGTGCTCGTGGTGTCTGCTCTCATCAGCACCACTAACACTGGCGAGGCTAAGTTAAAAAAAAAAAAAAAAAAATGCCGCAGTAATTTGGTCCATGGGAAGTCCTAGACATTGTGGGTAGTGATCTAGATGGTCTCTCGTACGTCTTCAGAATCCCTGGTCATCTGCGCACTTACCCTGTATTTCACGCTTCCAAACTTGCACCTTTTGCTGAGACAGATCTGTTCCCAACAAGAAGATCAATGCTGCCCCCAACCATGGGTGGTCATGTGGACGTCGATGACATCTTGGAACACAGAGACTTGCCTGTTCCCAAGCCTGCTGGCAGGGGTAGACCGCCCAAACCTATGAGGGAGTACCGGGTCAGATTCAGGCATCATACAGATCCGAAAGAAGATCGTTGGTTCACAAGAGAGGAGCTTGTAAAGACAGCACCTCAGATCGTGGCAGAGTATGAACGAAGAATGAAGGGGAAGCACCTGCGTAGAAGCATCTCAGCGGAATTTCGAAGCTAAGGGAGATGGAATGCGAGGAAGTAGCCCTCGCGGGGCCCTTATCAAACATACATGTGTTCTGAGCCACGACCCCTAGCAAGCCTGTGCCCGCCCGAAGTGAAGGCGGCCTGGAATATCCAAGAGAGGCCTGTTTTCAACATTTTTCCATATGTGGGGATTCAGACAGTTGCAGCAGCGCGCCGGTTGGTTACAGAGCAACTTGCGCCTCTAGGCTCTTTCCTGGAGCAAGGGCTGCCCTGTGCAGTTTAGCCCAGGGCTCAGGTGGTTGCGCCCTGCAGACACTTGGGGCCAGAGGCAAGCTGCTGGGCCCCCCACATGCCTGGCGAGGCCAGCCAGACATGGGCACACTTTCCATAAAGGAAAGTGTCTGCCCCAGCGCTGGGGAATTCTGGCCTGTGCAGACATTGTGGCCACGCTGCTGCATTGCTCTGCGAAGCTGCGCTATGCGGACAGGCTGGGGCGCGCTCGGGCGCTAAGTGGTGAGGGCACTGCGGTGTCAGTGGGCGCACGGTGGCCATAGCCGGGCCGAGCGTGCGGGTGCGTGATGATGGTCTTCGGGTAGGAGGCGCATGAAGAAGAGGGGAGGCGAGGTGTTGAGGGGAGGAGAGAGAGCACATACCTGGTGTATCCTGGCGATCGGCATGGAGGGGAGGAGAGAGAGGATGTACCTGGTGTATGCTGGCGGTCGGCATTGGAGATGACATCGATGTACATTGGTCTTCAACAGCGATGTGATCTGGCTGCAAGAACGTAGATAGGCTAGATAAGCTAAGTAGAGTAAGCTGGGTGCCAGGCGCTACACAGTAGGAGGGACAGTGGATGCTATGCTGGTGTGTCCAGAGTGTGGCGACATTGACATTGAAGTTTCATTGTATTGCTCTTATTGGAATGGTATCTTGGTGCATTGTGCTCTCTTCTTGGTGTTCGACTATCGGAGCTTCTTCGTGATTTTGCAACTTGGTTTTCTGTCTATCGCTCCCGCTCATAATCCTTGCATTATATAGTGATCATGGGGTGTTGTTCGTTTCCCATATCCATGGTTTGTGTTTGATCCAATGCTTTTGAAAACAGGCACCAACTTAGGTACTATAACCCAAGTGAGATGAGGCGCTTGGAGATTGCGTCGAGAGCAAGCAGGATGCAAGCAAAGCGGTTTTGGTCATTGATCCTAGGTGGAACAGCAATATCTGCCTTTGTGATTCTTCTTCTGAATACATTTCAAGAGAACCTGATGTTCTACATTACCCCCACTCAGGTCAGTGCTTGCTGTGATGGTAAGGCTAAATTTCTATGATGATGAGAGTCAGTCATGGGATAATATTTGCGGATTGCCAGTATGATTGTGACATAATCTATGTGCAACTACATTGCAAAATGTCTTTCTGTGTGGCTTTAAACCACCAGTGCCTTTCCATGCCAGTCTTCCAACCATTTGTATACAACTGCAATTCTCAGGGGCTCGGCCTGCTGTACAGCACCGGTTGTTTTTTTATTTGGCACACCGCACAAATCCGGGTCTGGAAAAAGAGGCTCCGAGGTACAGGTGGGTTAATGCAATGACACGAATCTGCGTGTGTTAACACAACTTAACGGTCAAATCTGTATGTCACGACAATGCAGGATTGATTTTGTATGAACTTTTTGTGCCATTCTGTGTCCGCCTGTTGACATGAGAGTCTATGGGCGTAGTTACTCCTCGTGGACGTGAAATCCACAAGGATGCTCTCGTTCGCCCTGTCCTTGGGGGAATGAAATTGAAAAAAAAAAAAAAGAAAACACCACAAGGAAAATTCCTAGTGGCGTTCTTGTGCCCCCAGCCAAATCTTCCTTACCCCCAAACGACCTCACGTGGAGCTCAAGGAACCGCGATTCACGGAGTGGCGAAGACATGCGTTGACGGAGAGTTTCGGTTTTTCGGTGGTCCAGATGTGGTCCTACGGCGTTAGCACGGACATCCCTGCCCTCCAACACCTGTGTAGTCCCCCAACGGGCTATAACAGTTACCCTTGGCGCTCGGCCTCCGTAGGGTGGCGGCGTCATCTTCGGACAGCGTCATGCGGCCTCCTGCGCTTGAGGAAGGTCCGCAACGGTCAGGAAATTTGAATATTTTTCCTGGCGGTGTCTTCAGTCCGTCGATGGAAGAGGTTTCTGCACAAGTGTCGTATTCCCTCACATGTCATCACATGCTGCATGTTCAACAATATTCCTGCCTTCACTGCCCTCTCCGCCGTTCAATTCATGGCTGACCTGTACCGCAGGCTCCCTCTGCTACTCCTGGTCATCTGTGGCGTCGTCACATTCCCAAAGGTCTTCCCACGTCCCCCCCGTCCTGTGTTTGATCCACCACCTTGACGTCACTTTTGGAATGATGTCGCAACCCAACACGTAGCACAATTGAATGACAGCCTCCGAATTCGCCACGTATTTGGGGCCGTCATGTGCAGCTTGCATCAGCGTCCTTCTCCTACGTGCGCCCAGCTGCGCCTTCATTCGTCCGAAGGCCCTCTCCTGCTGACTTTCGCAGAGCTGCCGCCTTTGGGACAACGTCGCTCTTGCCGCAAAAATGTGCTGAACGACGCCCGCAACGTGGCATGTGCCCATGGCGATGGACGAACCACTGTGCACACTTACACACAACACTGTGTTTCTCAGGAAGGGACGCTGCCGCAAAGCCCAATTCGCTCGTGCCCTGTCTTCGCGCCGCCTGCCGATGGTCGTGCTCGTCACCACAGCCGTACTTCATGTTTTGAATTTCAAACATGGAGGTCGCCTATTTTTTATTTTCTTTTTCGTGGCCCGGTTCAGCTCTTTCCTGCCGGGCGCCGCTTGACCACACCGCCTCCACACAGACACAGGACGTTGGACCATGGACACCCCTCCCTGCAGCCGCATATAATCGTATGAAAATGGCCGCGGTCAGGCCACAAGGAAATGTCCTCGGGAGGCGTCCCTGAGGATATGTGGAACGAGGCCACAAAATTTCCTTGAGAGCTACTACTTCCTTGTAGCTAAAGGAAGTCGCAAGGAGTGTCTAACGCCGCCCTATCTCTCGTACAATTCTGTACAGTAGATAAGAATCTGGATAAGAATCTATGAATCTGGATAAGAATCTAATCATGATTATTTGGCACCGCATAATCAGCTTGAGGACCTGGGTGGATAAGGTGATGATGGGTCTACGAGGATGAGAGTATGGCTGCACCAGAATCTGCATGATGTGGGCCAACGAGGCCATGGTTTTTCCTTTTCAATTATTTGTGGCAAATCGACAATAATGTGCAAAACCCCTGTGCCTGGGATCTGGTGAATGAGGAAATGCCGAACAGCAGGTGGGTAAGTGAGATATTGTGTGAGGAAAAAAAAACGAAAACGAAAAGGTGTATTGTGATCTTGTCTTTCTCGACCTCTGGTAGCTAAAACTGTCTTTGCAAGTTTGCTTTATGTCCACCTGTGGCATACTGCATAGCCACACGGGCCCTGCAGGGCCCGTCCCGGACATTCAGCCTAAAAGCCTAAAACATAGGGCTTACAGGCCCTGGTCGTTTCAGCCTGAAAGCGGAAAAACGAGGGCCTGCAGGCCCTACTCCGTTTCAGCCTATTTCTGGGTCTTTCAGACCCAGAGTTTTTCCAGCCTGAAATGGAGGGCCATTTTCAGGCCCTCATTGTTTCGACCTGCCCCTAAGACTCAGGCACGTAAACAGGGATGCGGAACAGGCCAGAAATAGCCTGTTCCTCACGAGCTCGAGCAGGAGCTGC